GTATAATGTGATTATCCTCCATTGAGATGTTATGTAAATCCTGACCTCTGTATCCTAATCAGGCAGGATGAGTGTTGTTGTTAGGTGCCATCCAGTCCATTTCAACTCCTAGTGACCTGACGTGAAACAGAGCCAACACCGCCCGGCCCTGTGCGTCCTTACAATCTTTGTCATGTTTAAGCGCATTGTTGCCACCGCTGCCCCAATACACACAGTCTTCACCTTTTTTGCTTACTCTCTACCTTACCAAGCATAATGCCCTTCTTCAGGGATTACTTTCCCCTGATAACATGTCAAAAATCTGTAAGACAAAGTCTCATCATCCTTGCTGTTAAGGAGCATTCTGGCTGTACTTTTCCATGACAGACTTGTTTGTCCTTTTGGCAGTCCGTGGTACGTCAATATTCTTCACCAGCACCATAATTCAAAGGCATTGATTCTACTTCAGTCTTCTTTATTTACTGTTCAACTTTCACATTCTTATGAAGCAATTGAAAATACTATCATTTGTGTTAGGGGCACCTGAGTCCTGCTTTTCAATTCTCTAAAGAGGTCTTGTGCAGCAAATTTACCCAAAGAAATGTGTCATTTGATCTCTTGACTGCTGTTTCCATTAGCATTGGTTGTAGACCCAAGCAAGACAGAATCCTTGACAACTTCAACCTTCTCTCTGATTGTTCTTTAGTGGTGAGGATTTGGGTCTTCGTTACATTGAGCTGTCATACAGACTGAAGGCTGAAATCTTTGATCTTCATTAGCAAGTGCTTCAAGTCCTCCTCACTTTTAGCAGCAAAGTTGTGTCATCTGCAAATCACACAAGGTTTTTGATAAGCCTTCTTCTGATCCTGATGCCCCATTTTTCACATAATCTGATTTCTCTAATTATTTGCTCAGCATAAAAATTGAAAAGTATGGTGAGAAGATACAACCCTGATGCACACACTTCCTGATTTTAAACCACACAGTATTCCCTTGTTCTGTTCATATAACTGTCTATTGATCTATGTACAGTTCTGCATGAGCACAATGAAATGTTCTGGAATTTCCATTCTACTCAAGGTTATAAATCATTTTTATACTCCGCATAGTTGAATGCCTTAGTATAGCCAATGAGCATCTTTCTGGTAGTGTCTGCTTTGATCCAAGATCCATCTGACATGATCAATGATATCTCTTGCTCCATGTCCTCTTCTGAATCCAGCCTAAACCTCTGGCAGCTTCCTGTCAATGATGAATGATCTTTTGAATGTTGAATGATCTTTTGCCGAATTTTACTTGCATGTGATATCAATGATATTGTTCTGTAACTTGAGCATTCTTTTGGGTCACCTTTCTTTGGGATAGGTATAAATACGGATCTTTTGCAGTTAGTTGACTAAGTAACTGTCTTCCAAATGTCTTGGCATAGACACTTGTTTCCAGTGGTTCATCAGCTGGCTGAAACATTTCATTTGATCTTCTGTCAATTCCTAGAACCTTATTGTTGGCTAATGCCATCCGTGCAGCTTGGACTGCTTTCTTCAGGAACATTAGCTCTTGATCAAATGCCACCTCTTGAAATGGTTGAATGTCGACTAGTTCTTTTGGGTATGGTAACTCTACATATTCTTTCTAGCCTCATTTGATATATATATTTGCTATATTAATAGGCAGGGTTATGGGCAGTTATATTAGTGAGACAGGATACAATATTTAGGATTGGGTTGTGTCTTGAGTCATTCTGTTGAGATTTTTTTTTAAAGTTTGAACAAGGAGTGGAGAAGAGGGACCTGGATACCACCCAGAAAGAGGAGCTGGAAACACAGAACATCTGGACCCAGGGTGACGGCACTGAGAATCTTCTAGTCCAAGGGAAAGATTGATGTCAAAGATTGATGTCATGAGCCCATAGATGTTGAAAAGATACCTTTCCTTAGGGCTGACAGAAAGTCCACTCCTCGAGTTGGCACCCTGGAATCAGCCTTCTAGCCTCCTAAACTGTGAACGATTAAATTTATCTGTTAAAATCATCCACATGTCTGTTTCCACACTACATAACTGAGACAGTAGGCGTCAGACGCAGCGGTCACAGCGAGCTTCTGGAGCTTCTGCCACTAGTGACATCAGTAGTGATGGACAACATTAAGGAAGCACGGACATTTGTGAGTCATGGAATGAGTCATGGAATGCTGACTGTTACTCAAGCCGCGGCCCCAGCAATCAGCGTCAAAAGGGTATTAGAGAGAATGCTTCTCTGGATGTTTCTCTCTTGCTTTCTTATTCACTCCCTCACTCTCTCTATATATTATGATATGGATTAAGTATGAACAAGAGTTTTTGTGTTAGGATGTAATATATATATATTATATATATATATGTAATATATATATGTCTTGTAGTCAAAGGGTATAATGAGCGAACCCTAAGACTGAGGTGTTGAAATTGGCTTCCCCTGGCTTAAAAGAGCTGCGGTTGCTCATTTCTTCCCAATTCTACTTTCAGTGAAGTCATTTTGGTAGCTTGAAACTGTACACAGTGGGAGGACTTACACCACAAAAGGTGGCAAATGCTGCCCTCTGGGCTTTATTTTCCACGGAGAGCCAGTTGTCAGGCCTTTGCTGGCACACCACAGGTGCGTCCCTTGGTGTGGGCCAGCTCACATGACAAGTTACATGTTGTCTCTGAAGGCAAACACTGTTCAGGTACTACCACAAAGAAACCAAGATGAGAGCTGTAAGAATGAGCAAAACCTTTTTTTTTAAAATCATTTTATTGAGGGCTCTTACAGCTCTTATAACAATCCATACATCAATTGTATCAAGCACATTTGTATGTATGTTGCCATCATTTTTTTCTAGACATTTACTTTCTATTGAGCCTTTGGTGTCAGCTCCTCTCCCTGCCCACCCCCCTGTCCCCTTGATAAATTATAAATAATTATTATTTTCATACCTCCCTTCCCCATGTTTATTTTTATTCAGGGAAGTATAGGGGCTGTTATTTGTAGATCATCATGATGGGATCAGCCAGCCACCTCCACAGTGTTGAAGAATATGTTGACTTAAGAGTTAAGGTTAAAAGAAAATATATATACTCATGTATAAGCTGAGTTTTTCAGCACATTTTTAATGCAGTTTTTGTGGTAAAATTGGGTGGCTCGACTGATATTCGGGTTGGTTTATACTCAAGTGTATACTGTAGCAGTTGTTTTGCTAAACAAAAGTAACATTCAATTTAAATGCAAAACCTATCTTGGGGTAATTATGGTAATTGTATTTGTTGTTCCTATGCATGGCAGCTGTGTGTGCAGAACAGAATGTTACCCAGCCCAGCACTCTCTTCTCAATTGCTGGTATGTTTCAATCTCTCCCTGCAGCTATGGCGTCAATCCATTTCACTGACAGCTCTCTCAGTTTTGTGGAATCTTTACCGAGTATGACGCTTGTTTCTAGTGATGAGTCTTTACTGAGAAAAGGAGTTGAAGTCTCACCATCGTAATATTTAAGGAACCTTCTAACTGTAGTTCTTCTAAGGCTGGTTTGTTATTGATTCTCTAAATTCCTTAGCAATTACTTTGCGTAGTCATACACTCAAGAACTTTCATTGTCTGCACTCTTCACTGACAAACTGCAGGCATCTAGGACAGTACCTAAAGACAGAACATTTCTTATAAATTTCTTAAAAATCATGAGCAAAATAGTGACACAATACTTGGATTAACTGGAATGACAAGAAAACAGAATCCTATGAAATACATCCCTAAAGGATCTTGGGGAAGACTAAGATAGAAGTAGGTTGGCACATGCTTAGGCCACTGCTTACTATGGCCAAGAATTTCAGTGGAAAAACCACCATCAGTGGAACTGGATTTTGCACCCCAAAATGTAGTGTCAGAAACAGCTCTCTGTGGACAAACAGCATCCAGAGACTTCACTCTTCGAAAGGCAACATCTGTTTTAAGAAGTTCTTTGAAGTAAAAGTACATAAACATGTGGGAATGGCTTGGTATATATGCTTCCTTGCTGAAGGACTTGCCAGAGGAAGTAGGGAATCAAGCTCCCATGACAGAGGCCATTCAGGCTTCTTGGCTGAGGTAGTACCACCGCTTCCAGCTCCTCTGATGTTTAACACATCAAGAAAATGGAGAGAAACAAGGTTATGCCTAGAATCAATTTGCCAGTTTCCTGGCCTGATATTAAAGCTCGCTTAGTTGTACCTTTGCATATGAAACATTAAAATTTGAGGAAAGGATATGAAAGTTCAACAAAATTTTCCATGCAGAAATCTGTTCTTACAACTAGCCAGCACACAAGTTCAGCAGGTCCAGTATTGCATGACATCCTCCAGGCCAGAATCTAGAGGCCTTGAAAAGAATTCAGGGAGTCCATGTACTGGGATTAAAAAGCAAACCAACAAAATAGAAGGTCTGTTTTTAACAACACCCTATTTGAATGTATCATTTCCTTCCATTGAGGATGTGAGCAAGAAATCACAGCGACTGTTCCTTGATGTTGTCAGGGATAAAAGCAGACAATCCTACATATATTTACTGCAACCGCAAATATCTTCAAATGCCATTTAAATTCATGACTAATTTGAAATCCTGATAGTTTTTCAATTGGCCACTTTGTCTCAGTTGCTAAGTGTTAACAGAGAAGAACGTGAATTCCTTTGTTAAAGATGTGGTGATTTACTGTTTTGAAAGTTATATTTTAATATAATTAGTTTCCTTTATAATTCTTTCTGTACAATCCTAAAAGCAAGGATCTCGGGAGGGGCCCATAGACCTCACTAAATGACCAAAAGAGTTGATTGTGCAGATGAAGTTAAGAACGACTGTAGGCAGATATGGAGAGTCTTAGGGCAATAGGTCACACCTACTACCTCATAGCTAAAAGAAGGAGGAGGAGAAGGAGGAGGAGGAGGAGGAGAGGAAGAAAAGGAGAAGGAGGAGAAGAAAAGATTGGTCCTACCACATCCAGATCCAGTTATGATTTCATTTACAAGCTGGGGATAATTGTACATCTTTTTCCTAAGCTCAAGCACAGTATCTCTCCTTGTCAGTTTAATATCTCATAAAGTCCTGTACTAGAAGACACTCTATGGCATGGATTTATCCAGCAGGGAGATGGAATAGAAGCTTGCTCCATCCACTCTATGCATCAAATAGTATCACAGTACTTCCATGAATGGTGTACCCCATGGGGATTTTTTCTCATTAAAAATAAGTTGAGTACAGGAGTGATCCAAATAATTCTTCTGTCCTGGAAACAACAACTTCAACCTCCAGGAATATGGTGGGGAAATGGGAACATCCTCTAGAAGTGTGAAACCTTTCCTTTTAGATCTGCTCTGACAATCTGGTGTCACTGAGATGTAACCGGGGCCGGGGAGTTACCTGAAGTCCAAAGCTGTGAACATGAAGTCAGGACACTTCAGGGGCATTGACTGTGCTATTATCGTCCCTTCTCGTATGATCTTGTACCAGTTACACAACCTTTCACGACTTAAAGTTTCTACCCTTTGGGCCCCAAATTCCGTTTGACTGGCTGTGTGGAAGCCCCAGGCTGAAAGAGAAACAGCATGGATGATTTCTTTTTTTTAAGGAAAGACTGCGCCAAGGCTCTCTTCCAGGCCTTTAATGATAGCTCTGCATGTAGTGTCAGTCCCCACACCTTGACCTACACCTATTTCTGGTTTCTCTCTTAGCTCAACCTTCCATTTGGTGTCACCGTCCTGTCTGTCCGGTCAGGTGAGACTGAATGAACCTCGCTCTCCCTCTAGCTTTGCCTCCAGCAACAAAAGCAGGGACGTTGTTCCTTGCTGTCCTCGTCATTCTTATACCTTTGCTTCCTCACTGGGACCTTTCTTCCCTTTCTGACAACACCCTCCAGCAGACCATCCACTTACACGAGGGTGAAGCTCTGCATTTCCCAGTGTAATGTAAGACCCTTCTTTCTTTTTAATTATTTTATTGGGGGCTCGTACAATTCTCATCACAATCCACGCATCCACCCATTGTGTCAAGCACATATGCTCATTTGTTGCCCTCATCATTCTCAAAACATTTGCCTCCCACTCTAGCCCTAATATCAGTTGCTCATTTCCCCTCTCCCTCTCCCCTCCCCCCTCCGTCATGAACCCTTCATAGTTCATAAATTATTATAGTTTTGTCATCAGTTACCCTGTCCAATGTTTCCCTCCACCCTCTTCTCTGCTGTCCATCCCCCAGGGTGGAGGAAATACTTAGATTCTTATCATTGGTTTCCTCTTTCTACCCCACATTCCCTTCACCCTCCAGGCCTCGCCCCTCTCACCACTGGTCCCGAAGGAGTCATCTATACTGGATTCCCTGTGTTTCCAGTTGCTATCTGTACCAATGTACATCCTCCGGTCCAGCCAGATTTGTAAGGTAGAATTGGGATCATGATAGTGGGGGGAGTGGGGGGAGCATTAAAGAGCTAAAGGAAAGTTATATGTTTCATGGTTGCTACCCTGCACCCTGATTGGCTCAGTAAGACCCTTCTTTCAAGGGAAAAAATGTTATTCACTTCCATAGAAATAGATGTTATTCAATTGTCAATTACCAGTGCAAAAAAAAAAGGCATTGGCCTTATACATTATACATTGTTGCTGAAATGGGAATACAGTGAAGAACATAAAGTAAACTTTGAGAACTCCAGGACCTATCTAAGGTAGAAACACAAATATTTCCCACAAAAGGAAGAGAGGAAAACGTGGCAAGACTGCACTTTGTCAGAGGTGGGAAACTTGTAAAACCAACGCGTTTCAGCTCACAGATAACACCATGCAAGAGAAGACCCACCATCTGTGGACCTTTGGTGAAAATACGTGGATGTGCTCAAGGGCTTCCTCAAGTACTATTAGCCTTTTAATTATTTTTGGAATTTTGATAAAAATCTAAATGTTAAGCAAGCAAACGAAGGTTAGATGGCGATATTTTAGACATCAGGAACTGAACACGGAGAACTGGTGAAACATTCCTTTGGGACAATTCTCGAATCACAATGACTTTGTTCATTACCATTGTGTCTATGTTTGGGGCTGACCTTGGTGAACTTTCAGACCGAAACAACTTGAGCTAACTTTAAAAATAAGGTCACCATATTGAATTTTAAAAAGACCAGAAGCATCCGCAGCAACCCTGAAGATATGATCATTTCTATATCGGTTACAAGAAAGAACAAATCTTGTTTGAGATTCCTGGTGTGCCAATTTCACACTTAAATAAAATTTAAAGATAATTTTCAGTTTATCCATTGAAAATTTGAGGAGAACATCAGGCATTGTTAACAAGAAATCAATCCTCATTCCCACTGGCAATATTTACAAAATTGGCTTGGAGATTTTTTTCAAATAGCTGAGAGCATTATATTTCCCAGAGTGCATCTCATGAGAGTTCACATGGCTTTGCATAAGCCTGTTTCCCTTACGTTTTCATTTCTTTCATTTTTCCCCAGGAACTCACGGTTTTCTGTAAGACTAATTTTATTAATTGGATTTGATGAGAAAATGAGGTAGATAAGAGGAGATAAAGTTCTTCCATTCAAAGCAAAGAGAAGAAAGAAAGGACTTGGTAAAATAAGACTTTTGCTCTTAGTGTAAGGTCTTACCCAAACTTTACCACTTGGTAATCTGAGACTCACCCTTGTCTATTAATTCGGTGTGTGGTATCTGCATATTCATCATACCCAATCCCTTTTTTGTTCTTTTTTAATTGTTTTTTTGGTATATACTACACACAGCATACAAGTTAATCATATTAAGCAGAATTGTGCAATCATCACCCCATCCATTTCAGGGCACTTTCTTCTTTCTTATACTCGTCGTTAGCTCCCCATTTCTCCCCAGTCTCCCATCTCATGCCCCCAGTAGTTATTAATACAGTTACTGTCTTTATAGAGTTACTGATCCTGGATTTCATAGCTAGAAAATCATACAAAACACAAACAAGAAGCAAGCAAGAAAACAGACAAACAAAAAACCCCAACAACAACAACAGTTAAACAAAACAGAGCAAAACCTCGATAGAAAAGAAAGCAGAAAAATTGAAAGACAGGAACAAATTTAACATGAGTCAAAAGGGAGATCAAATGATAAGGAATCACATTTTGACCTAAGTACATCTGCCATGATGGACTTTATCACCCTCTCTGTCTGATAGCAAGCCCACCGATGCTACTTATGAAGCACAATTGCTAGTCTTTATTTTAGGATGAAAATCAAGCTTTTTGCATTCATATAACAAAGTATCTGTCAGCCAGGCCAAAATCAACTAAATAACCCAATCTATTAGCAGTTGATCATAAATTTATAGGTAGAACAAAAGAGGCCATTTTTCATATGTAAACTTCAGGAGCCAAAATTGCACCTCTGATTCAGATGAAGAGTTCAGCTCCCAGATGTTCTGCTGCATGGAAAGTTAGTATTGGCCTTGGCATTGTGGCCAGCCCAACCAGTCCCTGAGATTTCTGCGTGGTCAGCCAGCATGCTTGCTTTTTTGATAGCCCATTCCTAAGGTTGTCAAGGTTGTGGGTGACTGTGGTTTTACATACCTCAGAAGATGCATATGCCATAGGTAATAGCATCTCATTACTAACAAGAAACTACTTTCTCAAATGGCATCAAGATGAAGTTGGTATCATGAGGGTCTGGGCAAAGATGGGTATATGATTACATTCTTTGGAATGTTTACTCTTGCTCTGCAGAATCACTTCATTTTTGAAACTCAGTTATTTTGGATCTCAATGCAGATATTTATGCTCTGTACACATTTTTATTTTGAAAATATTTGGGGTTAAAAACTTCTCCCCAGAATGTAATAACTTCCATTCACACATTTTTTTTTTTACTACAAGCACCTGAAAGGTAAAACATATTTTTTCTAACCACGAATCCTTTATTTTTAGTGTATTTAATAACCATTTAAATTCATTCATTTTACATTAATTTAGCCACATTTCTTTCCAAGCATTAAAACATAATCTGGTGAGTCATGACATCAAAGAGACAGAACTGTACGCTTTTTGAAAAGACTTAAACTAATTTGTGCCAAAGGTAAACTAATTTGAGCTGTTGAAGTTTTACTTCAGAAGGAATGAACTTATACAAATGTTAAATAAGCACATTTCACCTCATTCTCATTTTGCCACTGTGTTACTCTGGGTAGACCAGAGAAACAAATCCAGGGAGACTCGTATGTGTATAAGAAAAAGGTTTATATACCAGAGCAATTGAATATCAAGGAAACATCACAACTCACTCCAGATCAAGTCCAAAAGCCCAAGATTAGCCCATATGTATGATACCAATCTATAAAGTCCTCTTCAGACTCACGTAATATGCCAATTCCAGGAAGATCATAGGCCAGTGGGTGGGAAGTTGTATGGGTTCAATGGCATTGTAATCCTCTCAGCACTGGCAGGAGTCTCTACCTGCCCCCCTATCTGCCCCCCCCAGCCTAGGACTCTAGTGTAGCTCCATGTGTTCTGTCAGCTGCAATGTCTCACAAGGAGTAAGCAGTGTGTCCCACCTCAAGAGAGTTATTTATCTCCTCAGTGCCTCCAAATGAGGTCATCAAGCTGCGACCGGATTGACGAGTAAACTCAACCCCTTCACTCTTCTGTCTCAAATTGACAACAGATTATGTAACTACCACATCCACCAAACATATATATATATATCAATAAAGACTTTAAGTTAGAGGGGAAAATAACTTTAAAGAATGGTTAAAACTGAATTATATTGGGAATGATTTTCCCTGAGTATTACTACAAGTATGTATGGCAAGACTAGAGGAGAAACAAAGGTTTCCTTCCTTGCAAGGCAAAAATTACAAGTGAAGAATGGTCAATGACAGTCCACAGACTAACACCGGTGTTCAGCTAGACTGCATTCCCTATTTGAAGGATCAAGTTTAAACTTTCAGTGTCAATCCTTTTGCTGAAAATCTTTCTGAAAGGTATTTCTGTATTCAAATCAAAGCAAAATATTCTTATTCTTTATTTAAAAGAAGACGAACAGGTGTATGGAATTAGCTTTCAGTTGCCTGATACATTCATGAAAACTGGATAATGAATAAGGAAGCCAGAAGAAGTGATACCTTTGAATTATGGCGTTGCTAAAGAATACTGAAGATACCCAGGGCTGCTGGAAAGACAAGCACATCTGTCTTGGAAGAAT